ATATATATTGATTCAGAAATATAATATTGATAAGAGATTTATATCAATTATCAAAAAATTTCATATTGAGAGTCATATTCAATTGATTTATTATTATATATACAAAATTGATTTAAAATAAATATATTCAGAAAATTATTTATACGATTATGTGAATTTAATAGAATACTAGTCTTTCGTTTTATGATATTTAAGAATCTGAGTTTCTCAAATTTCTTGATATTTTAAGAAGCTGAAATTTCTAGAATTGTTCGATTTAGTTCTTATAATTTATTATCATAATCGAATTGTCGTAAAATTTTCAATAGTATATTATTATAGAAATCGTTCTTTAAATTATTTTTTTATAAGATTGAGATATTAGGGTAATAACTATTTCTATCGAAATCAATAAATCTGAATAAGTAAATCGAAAGAATTAACTGCTTTAAAATTCTCTAATAAAACGATTTCGTTCTAATCGCCTCTTTTTTTTGTGCTTGGCCCCTGTAACCTCGTCCTTTGGCACGTTTCTTTTTTGAAAGCCTCTTGCATGCCTGTCTCGCGGTACTAAAAAATCGTAAATTTTTGTGCCGAGAGCACTTCTTGCCCGGAAATAATTTTTTCGAAATTTTGGCAGTTTTAGGAAATCTCGCAGTATTAAAATTTCGGAATTTTGGTAGCATTAGGGGGGCAAGCTCCCGGTCATAAAATTTCCGAAATTTACGGTAGGCATACTCGCAGTCATAAAATTTCTGAACTTTTTGGGACATGCTCGCGGTAATCAAATTTCCGAGATCTTAATACCGGGAGCATGTCCCAAAATGAGGCTTCGAAGAAGAAAGGTATCCGATTTTGGGGCCGCTCGAAAAGCACGCAAGAGGCTTGCAAGAGGAAGCGCATCAGGATTGGAGTCCGGAATTTCAGTCTGTCTGTCTGTCTATCTGTCTATCTGTCTCTCTGTCTGTCTGTCTATCTGTCTGTGTGTGTGTGAAAGCACCTGAACATGATGATTCATTCTGAGTTCTGCATCCACAGGGGTGATTCCGATTTCTGTAGCAGGGGGGGAGCGGCCTTCAAGCAAATACTACATAACAAAAATTGTGTGTACCTGTATTCGGATTAGCCAGTGGGCCCACTAAGGCACTAGAGTAGCCAACTCTAGAGTGCATACCTGTATGATTGCTGCAATCTGCTTTCGCATAGTAGTTCAGAGTTCATCGCATCAGTTCTTGCCAAACCTGTGTGAGTGTGTCTCTCTCTCTCTCTCTGTGTCTGTGTGCCTGTCTGTCTATCTGTCTGTCTGTCCGTCTGTCCGTTTGTCCGTCTGTCCGTTTGTCTGTCGGTCTGTCTGTTGTCTGTCTGTGTCTGTCTATCTAAGTCTGTCTCTGTCTATTTGTTTGTGTTCGTGTCCGTTTGTCTGTATCCGTCTATTTATATTTGTCTATTTGTTTGTCTGTCTGCCTGTCTGTCTGTCTGTATCTGTCTGTCTCTGTCTGTTTGTTTGTATTTGTATCCGTCTGTCTGTATCTGTCTATTTGTTTGTCTATTTATCTGTATCTGTCGGTCTGTCGACTCATCTATCTCGATCTATTATTTGTTGTCTCTATTTGTCATTATTGATTTTATTTATCTCTTCTTTGGTTTCATATTTCTTTATCTATATAGGCATGAATATAAGATTTGGCAATTTTTTCTTATATAGCATGAAATCGCGATTGATAATTGATCGTTATTTTCTGAATATTCTATCGCTATCTTATACGATATATAGGAATGCTTTATGCGTATAAGATGTATGATACAGCACTTATTTTATTTAGCATCGAATAATACGAAAATAAAAAAGATATATTAAGATTAGATTTTCAATGATATTTTCTGTAATTATAAAACTTAATCTATTTTTCTTCAGATTATTTAATTTTTTCGAAGAATTAGGTATTTTAAATCTTCAACCGGATTCTTCTTAAAATTTGGGGATGCCGGAATATAATCGTAAATCTAGTACTCTGGAGGCGAAGGATGGATTAGGAAAAAAGAATGGATTAATATAAATACGTCTAGGAAATAGAAATAATCTTTGAATTTTCGATTTATATTAATCGTGAGGAATTATTATTATTTGGATATGATCTCCGTAATCTTGTCAGATATGATATAAAATACGAATCTATGATTTATAATAATGAGAGATCTATGAAATTATATTATTAATTAAGATATATAGATATATATGATAAATATGATTGTTCGATTCATTTTAATTAATACTTCACTAAATTATTCAAAATTAAATATTGTATATATTCGATTATATCATTAAATATAGATATTGGATTTAGAATATTCCATGAAATATAGAATGTTCTTGTCGTGTAGTAATTATTCGACGAGATATAGAATTTTCTTCTCATTTCGTAATATAAATATTGTATTTCTTTTTATAGAATGAAATTCAAGAAACTATATAATCGATTCAGATCGATAGAAGATCTATAAAGATGATCGATAATATAATTATATAGCGCAATATTGTTCGAACCCCTCTTTTCTCCCCTATGATTACCCGCCCCGTGGTGGGAATGGAGGGACTATTTGTATGAGTTGTTTAAGTTAATCTTTCTTCGGTGTAATGGTGTATTGTGGGTGACAGATTTAGTATTTAATCCCTTTCTCCCCTTCTTGTGGTGGGGTGGTTGGGCTTGGGTTTAGAGTTTAGGGTTTGCGCGGCGTGGGGGGGGGGGGTATATTGGGTCTGAAAAGATTCAAAATTAAAGATTCAGGAAGCTTCAAAAGTCCCAATAGAGTTTTAAGATTTGGAATTTAAAGCTAACCCTAAACCTCATTCCTACCCCAAAGCCTTTTTTTATTTTCTCTATAATGAAAATAATAAATAATAATTCAAGATTTGTCCATTCATCACCAACTATAGCGTGGGCGGACGGCAATATTAAAACGTATTAATATGAGAGACTTTCAGAGTTTTAGAATAAGAATCTATATATAAATATAATACAGACCGAAAGCGTAATTAATCTAAATAAAAATCTCAATTTAAAATTTTCTCAATTGTCATAATTTCAAATTATAAATATTAATAAATATCTCAAATTCGAAGAAATCCCTCCCTAATATTATATATATTTTTTTAAAAAAAATTATCGATCCAAATATAGATATAAAAAAAAGAAATCATGCAGAAAAATTCAAAATATAATGCGAAAATATATGCAGAGAATTTCTTCATATATAAAATATAAAAAATAAATTAAAATTCGAAATAAATTAATCATATATTATAGATAATAATAATTCATATATTATAAACAATAATTCTTATTAGAATCATATCATCTCCATACCTTTATATAAAATACGTAATTTCGATCCAAACCATTCAAAAATATCTCCCAATAATTAATAAAAGAATTTCTCATATATACCTCGAAATTCGTGTTCCATTCAAATCATGAGAATTTAATCTCTCTATTGAAATTAACGATAATGAATCTCATATCAGAAATCTATTAGATATAGATTTATATTTATATTCAATATTTTTCCGAAATATATCATTTATATCCATTATCTTTCTATATATATATATGTATATATCATATAATATTTTATATCTCTATGTGTGTAAGTGCAAATATAGTATCATTTAATCTCGATCCCAATTATCTCAAGAAAACGGACGAACAAAAAGGATAATCTTGCTAGGAAACACCGAAATAATATATTTCGAGAGGGGGCCCCAAAGCATAGCTCTCTTCACTATTAAAGTTGAAATTTTAGAACGCAAATACAGGGGTTATGTTCGATTCGACGTCTTTGTTCATTGTCTATCTCTCCATCTGACATCCCTTGATAATACAGATGGTCCCGTCAACTTGGAACCTGATTTCAGGATATAAATTCTTCGTGCTTCGATTCCAATTCCCAGCACGGCTGGTTGGGGAACAAAGCCATATATTTTCTGCGGAAAGCCTCCAGGATGGTTCCAAGTGGCATGACTTCCAGCTGATAACGGTTAAAATATTTATTCTATGAACAAACGAAATTATGGGCACTTGCCTCCAGCTGTGCCATTCCGAATCTTCTTCTGCAACAAGCCCGCTCAGTCAAAGAATTCTTGACCTCGACCTCGACCTCACAGACCTGTCTCCTGCCACAACATTAGAGCAGGTTTGGATCGCCATGGAGCCACGCAGGTAGCATGGGCCAGGAACAGAACCAAATGCACGAATCACAGCATTTCTCGACGTGCCTCCGGGAAACCAAGCGCCAGGTTCAAATTCTGCACGCACGCACCGCTGGCGCCCTGAGAGTGAGCCAGAATCTCAAAGGCATGTCCGGCGAAACAACGAGAGAACGTCCAACCACTTGTGCACTATGGCTGTGGCTAAAGGGCTCGCGTGCCGGCACATCTTGAATCGCTTCCGGCATTTAGGGCAAATCCAGAATAAAGCTGTGGTAAGTAAGAATGCCCCAAGTAAGAACCGTACTCCGAAAACCCCGACTCTGACTCGCCTTGCCCAGGTTGTCCAAACGAGCGGCAAGCCAGAGGCTCTTCTTGTCCTCTGGCTGCACTGCTCCAGCTGAAGAAGCGCAATGCCCTATGGTGCAGGGGTCCTCGTTGGCAAAGCAGAAAAGCTCCAGCCTGAGCATCACCCGGCACAAACCCCCTGACGCCAGGGTTGCCAGCAAGACAGACACGACCGACAGCTAACAACGATCCTTGCATGTGTGCAGCATAACTGTACATTTTGCTGCCACAAGTTGAAAACAAATTGGTGCCCCGCTTGTTGGTGTCGTTCACTGCGTCGGGCCGCAAAAACGCACCGCGTTCCAGAGCTGGCATGCCGAAGCTGAGGGAGACTGCTGCAAAAGCGGGCAAAAGTGCAGCATCAACCAATGTCGTTACCCAGCTTTGGGTGAGCATCTTCTGCGGGCTCGGTTACATCTGTTTTCAATCGACTGGTAGGCCACACTGGGGCAAGCACACCTTTTTCATTCTAACCGCACTCCTGCACACGCCGATCAAATTCTTCCTCACCCATTGCTTCAACAACCTGTGCAAATGCAGGCAACCGAGGTGAACAAGGTAACAAAAAACAGGATCGCAGGCCTCTTCATTTCGCTCCAGAGTTTCAAAGGCCTGAACGGGCAGGTCGCAGTGGCAACAATGCTCGATGATGTACGCCAAACAGCTGGTGCTTCGTGAGTGTCTGTCGTAAGTCTTTACTCTGCCATCAAATATGGGTCTCTCAGATGCCCATGCACAGCTGCTGCCTTCTGGTTGTCGACCGCCTGATTGCAGAAGGTGCTCAGAGACGCCGTTGTGACGATAACTGACACTATTGGAACTTCTGTCCTAGTGCATTTTCTGGTTTTCGCACGCCTCCAGATCTGCAGCACGGAGAAGATGCAGAACGATTCGAGGCGCGCGGCCCAAAATGCTTCGGCAAGCATCCTGCAGGCATGTGCTACATGAATGCACGTACTCGCAACTGGTGGTTGAGGACCCACACCTCGTCCTGTAGAGCTTCGCGTCCAATCAGCTGAAGCACCTTGCTGCTCATGCTGCCCCCGAACCCTGCCTGCAAATGCCTCATAAACCCATTGAGACCCTCAACTGAAGCTCCCACACCCGTGGACCTGGACCTCAGTGCAAAGAAAGTCTCTTAACGACGACCCCAAGCCAGCTCCAAAACTCGCGAAGATTGCATGCTGATAACGCAGCAGAAAAGGAAGATAATCATGTTTCCCTAGCCTGCTTGGGGCAGCTCGACCGATCAGCTCAGCCAAGCCATGGCCGCCACAATAAATGCAGTTCTCCTTCTCACGAATTCGCTCCAAGACTAAATGTCGTAGGGTGAATGATGGCGGAGATGTTCAAGCAGATGCGGGGAGCTGCGGGAGACTCCATTTTCAACAAGGCGGCGACGGAAACAGCTGTTTGTCAAACCAAGGTGAGTGCAGAGTTCCTGCAAGCTTGTCAAGCCAACAACAAACCTCCTTCGTTTCCTCGGGTGCTGCTCCTGCTCCGAGCCTTCATCATGTTAGATGTGATGAGCTTTGCTGGACGAGGCGCACTTTGTTCTGGAACGGTCTCAACGCGATCTGCAGCATCCGAGAAGGGCTGCATGCCGAACTCGCCGTTTTCCGCATCACCTGGAGCCAGCACAAACAAGTCGTGTGCTGCACGTACCTAAAAGCTACGAATCATGCAGCCTTCATCAACTTTGCCGTAGAACCTCGGGCAAAGACTGTGCGGGCTGACGCTTCGTGGACAATGCGGATGCGCAGAAACAAACACTGCCCCGAACTTCAAGCCTGGACACTGAACCTTCAAGTTGCTGGCACCGTCCTCTCCTTCGGGCATGATGCCCAGAACTGTTCCACAGAGCTGCTCACCTGCTGTTGCAATGTGCAGCTCGGTATATGCGGACACGAGCACAGGGCCCAGACCATCCCCTGCGCGAATCACGATGTCATCACCCTCTTGCAGGCCATAGCTGTCAGAAGCCTTGGTTCAAGCTGCGACGCCGCGGATGCATCACTGCCACCAGCTTCAATAGACCTTTGACAAGAAGCCTGCGAGTGGGGGTGGAAGCATACCACCTTGCAACCGAATTCCTCCACCAAGGCCTCCCCATTCCTGAATGCGCCGCACACAAAAGCTGGTGCATCCAGCTCGGCCGCTACCTGCCTGGGCCCCAAATTGGCTTTCCGGACAAGCCAAGTCACTGCAGTTCGGTCTCTCGGAAGTCGTTGAAGTTCGCGAAGTCTTCCCAAGGCTCCACGCAAGGACATACAAGAAGGGTGGTCACCGTTGAATCCCGAGCTCCTGCAGCACGTGCTGAACAAGCTCCCAGAACAACAAATCTGCGGTTCCGACTGCACAAGATTTTTTCGAGCTGTAATAAGTACACGCTGAGACGCCACCCCAAGAACGATCCCAGAACCTGCCAGTCCTTGCAGCCTTGCCGCTTCTGCTTTCAGATCTTCTAATGCAGCCGCGGGAGAGTTTGCCATGCTCGTGGCGATGCGAATTCCGTTTGCCTGGGCATGAGTCTAGTCAAGTCTAGTCTTGTCAATTCTGTGTCCAGATCACTCCAGACTGAAGTGTGTGGTAGAAGCCTCGCTGGCAGGTCCGGCCCATGGGCAGAAGCTCATGCCGATGATCATGGAATCCAGCCACTTTTTCACAGCCACTGTGTGGACGTCGCCCTCCACCTTGGCTCGGACAATCAAGGAAACCAAGTGTTCCAGTGGTCTGACCTGCGCGCCTTTCTAAGATCCTAAGCCTCGAGCCACTGCTCTGCGCCGCACCAGGCGGCGCGGCAAAAGCAACGCAGAGGCACCGAGCGCCTTCAGCACAACACACCGAGAAACTCAAAGCCGAGCTGCTGAGCTCACATCTGACACCAAGGGGCCATCTGACAGGTCTTCATGGCCACACAAGATGCTGCAAGGGCCCATCGTGCAGGTGCTGCCCCTCTCGCAGGCACTGGCTTTGTCTCCGTCGGAGCGAATGTCCGCGGGGAGCAGATCATCATGCAAACGAATTTCTCTACCTGTGAACTCGGAACCGTCACTCCGTTTCTGCAAGTTTCGCTTGGGATTGCAGATGTCGCTGCAAGTCGTGCACATGATGTGAGAGCTACATCGGCCTACGCAAGGTCTTCGGGTGTGCAACCTGCGATTCGGCCACATTCGTCTGGTGGCTAACATGCTTCATCATGCCTCGAAAATACTGTGCCAAAACTGCGCCGTGTGGAGCAGTGTGTAGTCGAAGAGCTGCTGCAGTTCTTGCTGGCTACATACAGGCCGGGAATGCCCTCCTTGTCGTTCAACGGTTTCACAGACCTTGTCTCAGACCGAAGATGATCGAAGCTTAAAACGAATCATCGGAGGCATACATCTCGGGTGCGGACACGAACTGCTTCCCGTCGTAGTGTGCAACCATGGCTGCATGAACGTCTGCGGCTGTAGCTCCTCACAGAAAGCTCGGTTGCGGTGCTGACGCCAATGCCCTCAACCGCCCTCCGGTGTGAACATGCCTGCCCGGAGCTGAGAGAAGCGCAGGGGTACGGACCTCGGGAACAGAGCGGACAGTTCGCATGTGCTGGGTGCGATTGTCGTGTCAAGATGCTCAAGCTTGGGAAGGTGCACTACCATCCCTTGTTTGAAGTCCCCAACAGCAGGGCAGAAGATGGGTTCCTCCATTCTTGCAGAACGTTAACGCCGAAGCTGCAGAGCGTCACAAGGCTCTCTGCAGGGGTTCCGGAAGTCCAGTCCTAACAAAGACCGGCCTCCTGCAAGCCTGTCCACTTAGCCATCTCGGGTAGATGCTTGTGATTCAAGGCGAAGCCGTACCTTCAGACTTCCCAACACCTTGCGTCGAAGCAAAGCTATCCATGAGGGCACGCTCCCCAGGGCTCATGATCTTCCTCTTCGTAGGTTTTGATCAGGCCCTGAGCAGTTTTGAAAAGCACGAATGTCAGCCGCCACTGCAAGCAGAATATGCGGCCAACACCCGAGGCACATCGCGGCTTTCTTCTTCACCATGCATTGCTGCACTCCCTTCTGCCCATTGTCTAAAGGTCGATGTACTAATGTTAATGTATGTGCGTATGCATGCATGTAGGCATGTAGGCACATATGTCAGTGTGTGCAAACATATTATGCACGAAGACGTAATGCATGCCGTCTGTCCCACTGGCGACCCAGCCTTTCCACCACCGGAGTATCCGCTCACAGCATGTACCTGATTAGGAATCAAATTGTCACTGTCGCGGATTGGCGAGCACAAAAAAGGCAGTCGCACCACCAAGCCAGTCTCGGCTGGGAGAAGTCCAGCATCTACCAGTGGCCTCATCCCACAACGCGAGGCCACGCTGTCTTGACAGAGACCCCTTCAAATCAGATTCAGGATGCTTTGCACTCCCACTCGGCCCGGGCAGCCCGCCGAATCAAGCCAATGAAGCCTGCTCGGTTCAGCACCGGAGAATCTTCTGCCGGACTCTCCACCACAATACTCGCTCTAGTTCCTTTTGGCTAAGCTGCAGAGCATCACAGTTGCTGTACAAAGGTCTGCCGGCTAACTGCGAAGCCGCAGAGGCGAAGTCAAGATCTGAGGAAAGTCCTATGAAAGCATGGCTCAAGATCTTGGCTACCGACCAGCAGCTCCAGGACGCATAACTTCACACAACAAGCCCCAAGGGTTGAGCCCAAGACCTATATAGGAGTCTTCATCTCAACCCAAGAAGGACAGGCCGCATCTCAAGATTCGGCACAGGAACTTCGGGGTGTTAAAGATCCCAAAGCAAGCTGCTATCTTGCCCTTAAATTAAAAGCTCGCACTCTCCATGGTCGGAGTATGCATGCCAACCAACCGAGCACACACCTGCTGCCGGGTTTCCGGGCGTGCATGGTCCGAACTCCTCAGGCTGTGGCGTCTGCTTTGGCTGCTGCCAGCCTCCTGGGTGTGCCAGCATCACATGATCGCTTGCATGCACTGTCGAGCTACATCTGAACATTACCGGGAGAAGCGGCCTGGTCTCCGCAATGACGGATGCCATCTCCATCAAGAACTCTTGCATCTTTCCGAGCTGTCGGAAGCCAAGATCCACAGTTGCTGCTTTGAAGATCTGACAGGGCCGTGAACTTAGAAGTCATCTCGTCATCTAAGGCATTAAGGTTGCCTTTTCTGGTCTTGCTCAAGCGTATCCTACACAGAGTTGACAACTATATTCATGCACATACGTAGATTACACAGTCGTATTTGTGCACCGACATTATGCATAGACATACATACACACATACACATGCACACAACCAGGCACAGATACATGTTTGCATAGGTAGATAGATAGATAGATAGATAGACAGGTAGACAGGTAGATAGACAGATGGATAGATAGATAGGTAGGTAGATAGATAGATACATAGATAGGTAGATAGGTACAGATAGACAGGTAGAAAGGTAGATGGATAGATAGACAGATAGACAGAGAGATAGATAAATGCATGCATGCGAAGTATTCCAACCATGATTAACTGTCTATCCATTTATCTATCTATTTATCTACCTATATATCTGCCTACCTATCGTTCTGCCGACCTACCTCTTTGTCGACCATTATGTACCTATCTATCTCTATAGTTCTTTCCTGCACCTACGCCATGTCATGTTGAGACATATCTCTCCGTCTACCTATGTCTCTCTATCTTCTCTCTATCCACCTCTTGACCACAGAGGAATACACATGCGAACATATGAGTCTGTGTGCACGTACTTTCACACAAGCTCAGAAAAAAGTCAATATACATGTGCATGTAGAAGCAACCAGCACCGTCTTTCTCTCTTTCTACATATATGCAAACCTTTCCTTTGTCTTGAGCTGTCTGTACTGCTCGTTTGTGTACCTATGTATTTAGGTAGGTGTGTGCGCGCATGTGTGTATATATATAATATATAATATA